GGGGGGGGGGGGGGGGGGGGGGGGGGGGGCGCAATATGGGAAGTGGGCAGCTTCAAACCAGCTGTCAGATTCACTGAGATTTAAAAAGAGCACAGCAGACAGCAGCTCCATGGGCCTCGCTGCAGCGCTGCTACCACACCACTACAATGGAAAGGTTCACACGCTGATCTAACGCTATGTGATTCCGCTTCCAAATAGCCGCCAGGCAAACGGAATGAATAAAAAGAGAAGGGGCACGACTGCTGCTGGTGGGGCGTGTGCTCCCACAGCATGCTGGCATGCAGCCTGCCGTTAGAAGAAGCCGGAAAAAAAAAAAAAAAGTAGAACTTGATTTTTCATCCAAAGTTACTGGTTCCACTGGTCTTCCCACACACACACGCGCGGTACTCACATCCGAGGTTGCTGTTGTTGGATGGTACCACCAGCAGCTCAGCCTGGGAGTTCTTGATAATGTCACGCCAATGGATGGTGTCCGCATGGCACAGGAATTTGTTCTGGTCAACATAAACACCCCCATTCAGTATCTCTGCACAGGGAGAAAGAAAAGAGATATATGGAGAGGAATGAGCACATAGGAGTGGATATATAGCACATGTACAAGATGGCAGAAAATCAATACTTCAAGGTTAACTCCCATCGCTCCTTTGTCTCAAAGTACTGCGCCGCATTAAGTGTTCCCTGAAGTCCATCTGAGCATGAAGATAAATGTTATTGACAAATGCAACACGGTAATTCAATGCCGTGTCCACAGACAATGATGTTCCATGAAGAACTACTGCACAACAAAAATAATTAAATAAAAAGAGACATGGATCTCACTATATCAACAAAACAGACTCGCTTACCAAAAGAGCTCCAACTGTACGCCGGTGTAAACTCTTCATTACAAATTGGGTATCATAAGAATTTAATTGAGCTCGATAGTTAATGAGTTTGAATGTCACTTGTTGTGTTAATTAAAAATGAAGTAGTACACTGGAGCGGATACACAGCTTTACATACATCCTCATTGAGGATGAAATAAGCGTTTCTTAAATGAAGTCTGATGTGAAGTTTCTCTCGTGCATCTCATTGATTTCTGGCCGCAGAGTAAAGAACAAAACAAAAAAAAAGAAGCATTTTGGAACATGTTCAATTTCTTATTGTTGCATTGTTATCTTCAAGGGCTCTCTCTCTCTCTCTTGGCTCACAACAGGCCCGCATCCTCAATTGGACTCGGAGAAGATCTCTTGACCTACTCCGCATCGCTTTATCAAACCGAGAGCCGACACACCAAAGACAAAGGCAGGATTCTCATCCTGCATCTGCTTTAATAGCAAAAACATGTTTCTATTCAAGGACCAGTGCCCTTAACAGATGCCCGCGCGTGGAGTACGATAGGTAATTATAATCCCTCTTCCTGTTACTAATCCAGGATTTGGACACGGAATGAAATGATGCTGCAGTAATCCCCCTCCCAAGCCGTGACCCGTGGCAGAAGGGAAACAACAGCCCCCATCAGGCTCTCTCTGGGACACCAGCTGTATTATTTAACCTAGATGAGGGATTTTAGACACAATCACCTTGCATCCCCTTCTCCTTGAATGTGAAGTAGTGCAAGATTCCATGAAAGTACTTGTCACAATAGATTAAATTTCCTTAAAAAAAAAAAAGTAACAATGTGGTTTAAATCGGGTCTGGATTAGGCGACGGTAAAGAAGGATATTATCTCCGCAGGCAGATTATTAACAGCGCGTGAGTTATGCGGGCGATGGCACGGCAGAGAAACGCACGCGGGAAGCTAATCATTACCATCCGACACCCTGATTAAAGAAGTGGGCCTTGGTAGAGACGGGGACATTTATTCAAAGCCCTCTTAGAGGTGACACGGCGCTCCGTCTGCCTGCTGAATGGCCTACAGCCGCGCGGCTTCATGTAATCATGTTCCCGTCACAATGGACGATTTATCAGGGGGTGTTTTACATTCATGGAGGGCGGGAGGGGGAAAAAAAGAGATAAGGCCGTGCTTTAGTCAAATAACGTGGACCGCACTGTCAGCATGCTTCGATGTAATTTTGAAATACTAAAGAAATAAGCGTTACGCAAGCGACATCCTGGACTGGACAGATTTCTGACAGTTTAAAGAGCAATTTACTGAACAAGCATGTTATGATCTGCAGGAGATGTGACCATATGTGTGTTTCCTGGCGAGACTCTGCAGACGAAACTGTTTTTTTTCAATGCACTGGTTCATTTTGACAGTTTGGGCTGTTTCACTTCCATACCATGTAACATGTCTTCTTTCAGACTAGAGGAAAGAAAACATCCAAAATACACATTTAGGTATTTATTTGTTAAATTAGTTTGTTCTGAGACTCTGACCCAGAAATCTTCAGTAGCTCTTACACCAAACTTTCCAGTTTCATTCCTCTCTGTATTCTGAGGGTTTCTACAGAAGGGGTTTGTTCAAACATGGTGAAATTGATTTTTGTTATGGCTGTTGACAGTATTTTCTGAATAGTGGGGGTGATAAAAAGAGATATCGATAATTCCCTCCGCAAAAACCTTTGACTCTAATGCGTCAACGAGATGAAAACAAGACTTTTGAAGTTGGCTTTACACAATGCGCTGAACACTTGACGATGGATAAGAGCGATGAACTCTTCCTACACCTGACTGGAAGAACGCAACACGGGCTGGACCAATTGTTTTTCCTTTCCTCAAAATTTGAGACGAAACTTTTGAGAGCGACACAAATGAGACGGCAGACATTCTTCCGAACTTTTTTGAAGTAATAATTTCTACATTTGAAGATATGACAGAAAAAAATCCATTTTGCTATTTTATGGGGAGCCATCTTTCTGTGCAACCCACCCAGCACTGTCCCAAATGCTCTTTTAAGTGCTTGTGTCCAGATCCCGTCTGCTCGCTGAGAGACAAATTGCCACCTCTGCTGTCCATCCGGGCAAGGACCACTAAGTCTTCCAGCGGGATGACGAGCCAGTATCGGGTGGTCGTTCATTAACGCGGCGACAGTCCTGTGCCACCGCCCACCCCCTCCCCTCTGTACCTCCACCTCCAAGCTTCGATCTTTCCATCAGGTCGGGAGATCTACAGCCGAACGTACATCCCCCGCCCCTACACCGCCCTCCGCCCAATCCCCTCCACACGGCTGTGAGTTACGAGGTAGTCATAAAAGCCGTTGTCCTGCATCAGAGCAACGGTGGGAGAGAGGAGGTGGAGGGGTGAGATGTAGAGAGGGCAGTAGGTGGAGGGAGGGAGGGGACAGAGATATGAGGAGAACATGAGGGAGAGAGAGGTTATTGCTAAGGTTAAAACAATTAAATACAATTTAATCAAAGTAATAACTTCCAAATCTTTTACATAAATAGACTTTTACTGGCGCTGCTCTGTGAGGCGAAGGACGTGTGCGAGTCATTTGTTCATGAACGCTATTTCGAGTCGTAGCTCTAAAGACAAGGCTTCTGATCAGCCTTGCTTTTCTTAATATTCTTTACTCGGTTATTTTTATTGCTTCATCTGTACCATAAATGCTGCTGCAGCGAAAAAAACGTCCCCTTGTGGGATTAATAAAGTAACTATCTATCTATCCCTCTATCTTAACAGGAAGTGATCTATTCACTCGCCTTGCTCGCCTCCAGTGAGCTTCATGGTGTAGTTTAGAAGGGCCCTTGTGCAGACTTTATGTGGACTTCAACAGCATCTGCTGTGGGTGCAGACCCAACAATATTTAAGGGCGAACAAAGCAGTACAGTGACAATAATTTTAGCAGGAAATCCAAGATGCTCCTGCTCAAGACAGTGAGAAATTCACTTATTTTTAACTTGTAGACTAAAACGTCCATCCAGTGTCTTCCGCTTATCAGGGGCCGGGTCTAGGTCGAGGCTTGACCGGCTAGTCCAGATGCCCTTCTCCAAAGCAATGTTTTCCAGCTCTTCCTAGGGGGAATTCTGAGGCGTTCCTGAGGGCCTCTTACCAGTTGGACGATACCGGAAAAACTCTAGAAGCAGGCGTCCAAGAGGCAGATATGATGCATGAACCGCATCAGATTTTCGCCCTTATAATGCCAAAGATAACGTATGTGCTTCAAGTAATTCTACATTTTCTACTTTAACCCATGTTCACCAAAGAGAAGAACTGACGGAGGGACTTGTTGGAAACTTACCACAGATCTCATCACATTGCCTAGCTCCTCATTGCTTCTTTCAATTCTTGCACTATTGATGCTAACTATGCTTTAATGAACTCGACAGCATGTAAAGCGGGTTGATATCACACAAAAAGAAAGCCCTCATCTTCCCTTTTGATAGTCAGTTCAGCCGGCGACACAGTTCCCAGCGACGGCGGTTTGTGCGTGGCATGCGGCCGCTGAGGGCTCCACCATATGCTCAGGTCATGTTGGGTTCAAGACTGTTTCTGGTGGAGCGATTTGCTACATCTCTCTTGGCAGTGACACAAAGTGTCTCGCTGTGATGGAGAGAGTGAAAAAAAAAGATCTCACGAGCCAAAGGTAAAGTGTCATGTCAAATCAGAGATTAGGTTTGACGCTGTGCAGCGAGATACGAGGTGATCAGCGGAGGAGAAGATGATTAGGAGATGTTTATCATATCAAACTGAATATATTTATGAATGACTTTGTGTCTTTCCTCCACGTCATCAATTACGACTTGCTGCAAAACCCCGCCTAAAGGGTGCTGGATGTTATTTGGCCCTGTGAAACATCAAAAGGGTTGTTGTAATGATGCAACAAGGCTTTATTGCCAAAAAAAAGAATCAATGTCAACAATTTAAAACCAAACTGAGAAATGAAACCCAGATACTCACATCAGGCTGCTATCTTCTCCTCATAACAAACAGCAAGTCACATGTTAACCTTTCCAGCCACGTCTAAACGGGAATGTACCGTTTGCGTACGTAAGAAGAGGGGTTAGTTAAACAATGCCAAGCATGCAAAGACCACACAATACCAAATAAATGTTTAATACAAAGTAGATATGCCATATAAGTGTTAACATACTGGTACCCTTGACATCTAAAGGTATAATGAACACATGAGCAGTTCAACTCGACTATACATTGTGACCATTCTCCCCTTCCTGCAGCGACTTGACAGAGGCCAATTACTTGGAATCTGCAAGTTACTCACCTGTTTTCAATATCGTTAAACGAGCAGATGGACGGTACAGTCAGTAAAAACTGACTGTATTTTCCCAGACCCTGATTCTACTCTATATTTTTACCATTCAAATCAATAAATATCACCAAATATATCTCCAGCCCCAGTAATTCTGAGGGTTTCCCAATTATAGCGTGTGTGTTGCCATTACAGTTGATAAATTAACCAATTAAAGGGCAGAAAAATTGGTCTGAAATGAACGACGTACCGCTTGAGAAAACCTGATTATGAATGGGAACCGAGTGAGAAAGTAACCTCTTCACACCCCTTGTGTTTCCATTCATATTTCTGATAATACTCCTGTGGCACTTGAATGACTCTGTAGAGCTATAAAAAAAAATTAACAAAGG